AAGTTGGCTAGGTTGAAAACTGGCTGTATTCTTCCTTCTAATGTTACACTGCTAAATAGCTGAAGTGTAACTCAGTTGTTTTAATGCTTTCTCTGTTTCCTCGTATACTGACTAACTTTTAAAAACAGAAATTAAACTGCAGGATTTATTTTAAAGTTTCATTTGCTGGAGAAGTAAGTGATTTTTTTCACAGCATGAGGCAAAATAAAGGAGTGTTACCAAAGCCTTTAATTATGTCAGGAAAGACTGAAATCATGGTATTTCTTTTAATGGGGGTAACTATCTTTTGCAACCTCTCTGTGGTCATCCAGCCACCTCCCAATTAAATTATTTGAAGACCAGTGTGGCTACTAAAATGCCTGGTAAAGAGGTTTAGAATTAACTCCCCACTTTCCAAGGTAACTCCCTTGCAAGTTGCAGAGGATGGAGCCAGGCATCAGACACCTGGGGTCCCTTCTTCCTTAATCGCGGAAGTTTGAAGTCATCCCCCTTTACCTCTTCGCATTCGAATGATCATCCTGCAGATTTTAACCGATATTGTCATGTTGAAGTTTGGTAGTTATTGTTTACATCTCTCCCTTCCCCAAGGGGTCTTGGCAAACGTTTAAGAGATTATTGATTTCCAAGAAACCAAATAAAGAAGCTGTTCTTTTATAACATATGAAATACACACTTTTCTTTAACTAAATAGGCAGTGTATATTTGACATTGATAAATGGGCAAGAGATAAGGAAACTTATTTTAAAAGACTTTGAAGGGGAAAAAATGGATTCAACAGCAGCAATCCTATGGAATAGTAGGGTTGGAATTAAAACAAACGCTTGGATAATAAGGAAAAAAATAGTCATCTATGCTGTAAAATGGTTTAAAGTTTCACTGAACACACACAGATGGCGAGCAAACATCACTGAAGATGCTCCTCTCAGGGGGACCTGATCAGTATCCTCAATGTTCTGATTTATTATAAAGAAAATGAGTTTCCCATGCTTCTTTTCTTCACATTTTTCTCTGGCAAAAGTGGTTCTGAAATTTCTACTCAGGTCTGGGAGTTTCTGACGTACTTACAATAATCCAGAAAAGTCATTCTGAAACTGGATTAGGAGTATACTTTTTTTAAAAAAAGTAAGACTTTCTTGATTAATGAAATGCAGATCTTAACTACTCCTTTCCTCCAAGTCATAAAGGAAATCCCTCGTGAAAGAAAGCGATTCCCAAAACCCAGACTGAGAGAGTAAACCTTAGGCACTCAGGAGTTCAATAAGGGCTGTCCATTCCACCCCAAATCTCCACAACTCCCGTAGCCCTGACAGGAAAACCTCATGTCCTTCTCTGCACCTGATTCCCTTTGCTTGCTCCCGAACTCCGGAAGGCTAGAACGAATTTATCCAAAGATGGAAGGAAACTCAGCTCATGGAAGCTCCCCAAAAGGGTTCTGGCCAAAGATATGTAAACATTATGTAGATATTTCAGTTGCAGGTTTAGATAGTGGGAGATGGATCCTAGTCTAGAATATTCGCGTCTTCAAGTCACTATTATTCAACAGGTCTTTGCTACGCTGCACACTTCAGATGCCAAACTGCGTTAGCTAACGTGAGTTTTTCCCCGTTTTCGTGGGAGGGTCGTGTTGCTAGTTTAGTTTCCGGCATGGCTGAGTTTCTCTAGTAGCATGGATTTATCTTAGCATTTGGGCAAAATGACTCTTGAGATGGAAAATATGACCAAACTACGGGGGAAAAAATATTTGAGGAGAACTCAGCAGTTACTTTGCAGAATACGAAAAGACAAAAAGTTTGTGCAAGTAGTGCTGTGAGAAAGCAGTGTGTTGATGATGGCTGTTCCGAGAAAACAAACTAAATTGTTAACCCATCAAGGAGTTAATAAAATATTTGTATGTCTTATGGGACATAAAAATAAAGTGTTTTGAAGCTAAATTTTTGCCTTAGTTTACTGAAAATTTTCCTTGCAATACTATGGCAAATAGATAATAATTTATCCTGAAATGTATTGTAGTTCATGTTACTATACAGAAGCAGTTTTCAAATAAATTTATTGAGGGCATTTTATGGGTAATAAACCCGTTAACTTAAGATATTAGGGTTCTCTCCCTTTTCACTTATTCCTGACTCTTTCCAGCATAGTTTGGATCAAGTTGGTTTGAAGTTATTTCAGTACAATTGATATTTAATAGAAATTTGGTTTTGGCCGTTTCACCTACTCTAAACCTAGTATTTTCGTCCCCAACATCAGTTCAAAAGAGTGGGTGACCAGAATGGGGTCCTGGTGCGAGGGAAGAGATTTCACTCAAAACCCAGCAAGTGAGGAGAGTTTCAATATAGCAAGGTGCAATTTGAAATTTACAAAAAAGTAGTCTTGTCTTAGGAGTGGCAACTTAAGTGTTGCTAGGGAGACCACGCAATGAAAAAGATACCACACGGAACTGATCTTCCTTTATTGTACTTTGCTTAACGCGACAGCGAAAAAGAGAGCCAAACAGGGAGATGTGCCGAAAAGCACAGCTTGGACTTAAGGGCTGCAAGTAGGAGAAGAGGTGATGGGTACCGAGCCAGAAGTGTCCCCTTTTTGGTGCTGTCAAGTAAGTTGCCGTCAGGCTCTTTAGCGCGGCGGGCCGGGCGCCCGCAGCGGAGCCGCCTCTCTCCGGGAGGTAATTAACCAGTGCCTGGGCGCACCCGAGCCAGTCAGACAGCTCCAACCACTGGCAGAGTCGTGGGACCAAGGGCTGGCCGGGTATGGACTTAGATCTTCTGGAATGCAGATCTCTCGAGATTGAGATCCAGAGCCCGGGAAGAATGTGCTTGCAGTACAGACCTCTTAAAGTACAGTCATGTACAGCTCCTGCCAGCTATGGGTGGTGGCGAAAAGTTGGCCACAGAAAAGTCGGGGGTAAGGGGGACGGGGAGCCCTGCCATAGAAGTGACAAGAGTGGCGCTGCTTTCAGCTTAGACTAGATGCAAATTCAAGGAGATTCGCAGGCAAATGTTGTGTAAACTCTGGGCGCTCTAACTCCGGCTTGGAGCAAGCAAGACTCTTCACCCACAAACTGCATATTCTTTAAAGTCACTGTCGCTTTAGGCTCAGATCTTAAGATTTCGGGATCCAGTTTTCTGTGGCGGGGGAGTGGTCGGAGAGAGGAATCAGGAGAGGGCCACAACTTTGGGGTTCTGGCCAAGGAAGGGGAGAGGGAAGGGGGCGGGGGGGGGGAGGGGGGCTGGGCGCTGTCCATGGTGCTGGGGAGAGCACGGCTTCATTTCGCTTTGCTGTCCCCAAACCGAGCTCAAGTGTATAAAAGGGAAAGGTACACCAACAACTCGTGCGGGTAGATTTTTTTTTTTTTTCTCCCTGCGAATGTGGAAAATACAAATGTGGCTGTACAATTTAAATTGTACTTTATGGGGTTTCTATTCCTTATTTCAGTCATTACTGCTTAGACAGCAGTGTTAACTGGTAGCTTCTTCTTTAAAGTGTTCCATTTTTCAAAGTAGTGTAATCAGCAATTCTTGGTGTACAAAGTAAAGAGTAAGGAGGAAAGAAAAAGGATGATTTGAGACTTGATTTGAAACTCTAAACATATGCAGGGGCAATTAGCTATTTCCAGATTTCATGGAAAATAAAAGCACAGCATAACTTAACCTGCTAGATAACATGAGTTTACTGAGACAGTATTAAATATATATAGATTCAACTTCACTTAAATAATTCTCTAAACTCCATACCTGCCAAATGCTATAGTTATATTTTTGTCAGCAAGAATAAAAGGAGCAATTTGCTATTGTAGTGTGTGTGTGTATAAATTAGAAATGGTTAAGGTTTCATTCTGAGTTATAAAATGGTACTCTAATAATTGCATTTTTTAAAAAAAACAAATTTTATTTTTAAAAATACAGGTGATCAGAAATAAAGGAGAGTACAGTTTAAAATATTTCAAGATTAGCCTAAATAGACAAATAACCTAGGAACTGAATCACACTCTTGTTACACACACGTACAGATATACCGCGTGCCAAAATTTCAGGTAGACTATTAAACTATGTTTAGTTCAACCAGAAATGTGAAAAACAGGAAAGTAATTGAACTTGTTTTAATCAAGAAAATCTTACTTAGCCTCCGCAACTGGAATCCATGTGACAATGAAGAAGGAAAGGGACGTGAATTCAAACAGCTGACACAATAATCAGCAGCAACTGACAGCATCTCGTCTGATATTTGATATCAAGCACTAGATCAATATTTGTGAGATCAATGCAATTTTAATGGTTTTTTCAAACCTGTATGAAAGCCAAATTGTGACATTCTGTGATAGGGTTATTTTTAGAGGTGGTTACTCCAGAGGATGATATTAAGTAATTTACTGATGCAAAGCAAAAGCAAAAATGGGGAGTGGGGAGGGGAGGAACCAACAAAACCACCACAACAAACCATCAATATTTCTTCAGTTGATAAATCCTGATTATCCAAGTACGTAGAGAAGGTGTGAACATTTATTGGAAAAAAGCCATTTATTTAATTATGGATAAAAAAATAAAATAAACCTTTGAAAAATTATTTGGAGGTACATGAAGATGAACTGGATCAGAGGCACCTTTTTCAGACACAATGGGATTTGGTGGCATGTGAACAAAAATAAATGAAAAGGATAAAAAGAGAAAACCTAGGCCTTATCGCTACAGGGTCAATCCCCTCATGTGTGGAATTCAGTGGGAAATAACAAATTTTTCTGCATCTTTGGCAGAGTGGAAAACTGAGAGCCCTATCTGACACTCTAAGCAATGTTCCCACAGAGGTCAAATAAAGAGAAAATAATAAACAGGTCTAAATATTGTGTATTATTTTCCTTAGAAGGATTTATACCATGCAAAAAATAAAATGTATTTAATTTAACTCAGAGACACATAGTTCCTAACCCTAACCTTATATTTTGACTTATTTGCTTACAAATTCCATTTTGATAAAAATGCTAAATTTGGATTTATTTGTTTTTACAGATTCAATTTTGAGGAATTTTCACCTAGAGGAATCCAAGATCTTCAGTCAAAACAGCAATTTCTGGGGAGGTAGATGATGGGGGGAGGGGTAGCAGAGGGGTTATAACTTGCTGAACATTTCAGTAAGAACAGTAATCAACATGAGATGTGGTGGTCCTGAGTAGTGTTCCATGGCAAGCAGAGGTTTACATTTTTTAGGTTCAAGAGCAGGTAAATGTCTTTCGTTTGGAATTCAACCGTAGTTAAAAAATTGGGAGATCTGGTTTTTCACTTGAAAGAATAAGAACATTTTAGGAAATTTCTGATGCCTGACCTAAAGTCCTCTCATCTTTCTTCAGATAGAGAATAAAATAATTCAAAACTATGCAATTCTTTAAGGGAAAAATTTTTCCCTTAAATGTTTCTTTTTTCCTGATGTTTTTGTTGATGACAGTAAACTGCCTGATAAGAAACTGACAGATCACTTCAAATAAAAGGCACTGTATTACATGCTCTGAAATGAAATTCATATCTAAGGCCTTTTGCAGAATTAAATCATGCACCTAGTATACTCCTTAATAATCTAGGTAAAGATATATTTTCCAGGATTTTAATAACTCCATAAAAAGTCTCTCTCTGCATGTGTCTTTATCCCTTATAGTATTTCAAATTTGGCAGACTGCCTACAAAGTAAAGATACCAACAGTTTAAATAAAATTTTTGTTTAATGAAATAAAGCGAACCTTACACACAAATGCATATTACATACAGATAATTTACAGGTTCAATGAACTTGAAGCATTGAAATATTTATTCCAATGCCTTGCAGATTTGAAGATGAAAAATTTATTTAACAGAAGTGTACAAACATTCATGGTAACCAACATATACAGAACATCTACTATATTATAGGCATTGAAAAGACATAGACATATTGTATATGTTGTCTGTGTATTTCAGGTGAAACGGACAGGAATGGGCACATGTATTTCATGGATGAATACGTGTGTATGAGACATATATATATATTTTCAATTAGGTAGCTCTTTCTTTTTTTAAATCTTGAGTTATTCTAAAGAAGAAAATAAACTTTATACTCACTTGTAGTTAATCGAGCTTCATTTTGGCTAATCATAATTTGACCAGTGATTTTTTTCCTCAGAGCATGAAGGACAGTGCTTAGAATTTAAAAGTTTAGTGCACCCAAAATGCTGCTCTTCTTAAGCCACTTTGAAGTAATGCTAGTGAGTCTACGATCCAGATCTACATGTTAATCTCTAGTTTTGCCTTCAAACAGAATTCAGTTACAAAGACCTTGGAAAGATTTTGAATCTATTCAGGAGAGAAAAACCTTTAATTTTCTGAGGAGTAAAAACTCCCCAAGAAACTTCATATAGCTTCTTAGATTTTGCTTAGCATACGTGATAAAACATTGATTGTTGCAGTTTGGTGACCCATGAAATTTGGGGGTTAGTTTTCTCTTCAGACCAGAGCATATAATTATGCAAATAAAGAGCTGTCACTGATCTAGTGAAATACTCACAAACACATGCACTCTGAAATTGGACAGAAAAGTGAAAATGGTTGGTGATGTGAGGGTGCCATGGTTTGTTTTCCTGCCAAGTTTCTATCCAAATTCATTATTCAAATTGTAAACTTTAAAAAGAGACATAGCATTCTTGGGGTGTTGGTTGTCTTTTCATTTCAGATTCTTTGTATTGGTATTGCAGGCTGACCACAAAGTACACTTCAACATTATTTTACCTGTGACAGTTCTCCATATTACCCGAGGTAATAGCCAAGGAAGAGAAAGATGAATGACCTAAAAGATGCAGGACTTCTCTAGATTTCTTTCTAGAAACATGTTTCATGTCTGTTTCAAACAGAACTCAACTCCAACAATACAAAGGATATAGTGAAAGGTTTTCCACAAATCTCAAGGCGAAGGACTGGGAAAAGTTGCTTAGAAGGCCTCAGGGACTAAGTCAAACTTCCACTTTCAAGCTTTTTATATTCCAGGGGAAAATACTGGTCACTGTGTGGTATCCACCTCATGGTCAAACTTTCAGGATGACTTTCTCCTATCTAGCAATTAAAGCCAACTATTTAACATTTTGTGATTTTAACCTTTGCAGTTCATTTTACAGTTATTACTTCTCTAAAACCTTTGTGCTGGGAATTAACAAAGTTCTTCAATCTAATCATGCTCTTTGGAATCAAGGTCTCCCAATTCTAAAGTTACCATTGCACAGGCTGTTGCATAATTTTAGATGTCATGGAGAGTCCTACTGATGAAATCTGAGAAGGCTCATGTCAGACCACTGACTGCTAAAGACATCACTACATGAAAGATCAGTGGTGTGAAACTTTAAAAACATCGATCCAAATGAATCAATTAAATCAACATTCATCCCTCCTAAGTGTGTGGTTTAAAACTATCATTGTTGCTTTATTTTTTTTTTTTTTTTAAAAAAACCTTACATAGATTTTGAGATAAATGCTGGAATGCTTTGATGGCTACTTCTATTCTCGAATCTCCGTTAATCGACTTTGTGCTATTTCCCTCTTTTCAACATCTTCCACTTGGTGTACATTCTTTACTCTTAGTACAGTGCATGACAGTTGCAATGCTTTAAATCTAAAACCGCCTAACAAAGCTGATGCTTTAGGTAGGGTAGCTTTAAGCTCTGTGAAGCGTTGATTAAAAACCCTTTCCCAGACTCAAACTGATCTTTTTGGAGATTAATAGAATATTAGATAAAAGGAAGACGAACAATTCAAGAGACTCCCACTCAGTCATTCTATACAAGGAAGGAAGGAAAGTATTCAATTTTTGAAAGGGAGTACCTCCTGGAGTCTTTTATTTTATATTATTACAGCCACTAATAAGTAATAATAAAATAACCACTACCATCATCCCCCTTTTTGCCACCCATATTTCAAAGATGAGAGTGTCTCACATTTATTTAAAGACTTTTTTTTCTCCACAGAGGCATGTGGAAAGTTTTTGAGAAATTTTTACACTTTCTGTAGTAGTACTCTTTCTTAAACGAATTAGGATTACAGACACCAACAGGAACCTGTCAGTTTACAGTAAAAAATATGATTATAACAAGAGACACACATGTGTTTGGATTGGAACCGCAGATAATCCAGAGAAACAAACAAAATCTAACTTATTAGCATGGATAATATAGTTAACATATCTCTAAAAGGGGCTAAAGGTTTTAAGAAAGCTGTAAAAGAAATGTAAGTTATTTTCAGATCGAACACAGTACATCAAGAACCTATATACACAAACTTGGAGGCAACTTAATCTCACCAGACTCCTCTTGGAAAACACATTTATTTATGGCATATTCAAGTTTATTTTATAAACAACAGTTTAATGATAGGTTGTTCAGATTTCCTTGCTAAGGAGATATTTTAGATACTAAAAACAACTGTCTTATAAATGTTAGCTTTGTAAAAGGTGCAAGCCAAATAGTGACTCAACTGAAGTTAGAATATTACCTTACAGCAATACTAACAGAAATAAAAAGTAGCCATAAGGTTTAAAATATTGATGGATGCTGTCTCATCCTTCCTTTTATGTTTTTGCTTTAAAAAATCTCTATGCAATTGGTGAATAAGCAAGAATTCTTCTGAGCAAGAATAATAACACCGCTGTTGTTGGGAAAATTGTTTTTATTTTAAAATGGAAATGGAAATATACAGGAAAAGCTTGTGCTTTCCTTTTTATTCTTTGAATAAACAATAATAATGCAATCAAGGTCAAAGCAAAAGGCAGAAAAGAACAGTTATTACAAGTACATGGTCTTCTTTTCAAATATCCATGAAAATGTTTAACGACTGGATGGCTAGGTACCTACAGAAAGCTCTAAAGCAATAATCTGGCCTTTAAGTTTCGACAGGACTATTTTGAATCTTAGATTTATCAGTCACTCCTTTCCCATTCTACTTGTTCTAAGAATTAAGTATATAATTAAAATAAAAAGTCCACATCCTGACTTTAAATCTTCACTCTCCTAAAAACCTGTTTGAGGAAACAAAAATGGGGAAGAAGAAGATCAGAGCAAAGATATTGTTAACACTGGCGGCACTCATGCAGGTGGGCTACTACCAACTGCTGGTTGTCACTCCAGGAAAATCGAGGTGAACATTATTACATTTATATCAACAAACCCATAATCAACAGGTTAAAAATCCTGCATTACAAAGGATATGATCACTTATCAGTTGGTGGTCTGGAAGTTTGCCTAGCTCCCTCTGGGCTGCTACAGCTCAGATTCACAAGTAGAAATTACATTTACACAACTTAAGTTTGCAAATAGCTCTCTATAGATAGTTAAACAAGGCCTAACCATCCAGTAGTTTTAAAGTATTAGAGGCAATTAAATAGTGATTTATTCTAGTTATAAGTAAAGGTTTAAAAAGAGGAGAGATGATTTAAGAGAAGGATAAGGAGTGATGTGGTTTATAAACTGAGCATATTTATTTTGCTCTAATTCAGGTGCAGAAGCTTCACAAATTTAGCATTGCAGAAGTGTTGGTTTTTTATAAATGCTATAAAATTGTTTCCTGTCAACATTTTCATATACTGAAAACACGACACAATTTATAATACCTTGAAAAATATATTCAATTCACATCTATTCTTGAATCTCTCACTGGAAGATACCATTATTTTACAGAGTTCACCAGTACTTCTAAAGTAGTAAAGATTGGATAAAAAGGGTCAATATCAGAGACAAATGTGCTTGACGTTGTTGGGGTTTACTCATTTTAAGCCATCCAGTAGCTGAATAAAATGCCATTTTGATTTTTCCTCCCATATAGTTGATTTTGCTTAAGTAACACCAAAATATATGCATACCTGACCACTGAAGAAAGATCACTTTAATTTGTCATCATTAAAACTATAGAACTAATGAATGTACTTGTATGTCAAACACAGCAATGAGATATTAACAGCTTTAAAACTTGTTGAAATCGGTTCATAATATAAAAACATTTAAGCACGAAGTGGTTGATTTTAAGTTACTTTTCTGAGGCATTAGACAGTTCTAAGTCATTTTGGGTACATTTTCTCATGTCCTGAAATAAGGCAGGCATATTAATTGTTGTATACACTTTAAAAAAGGATGAAAACTATTAAATTCATGTTCTCATCTATTAGAAACAATCTTTACTAGGTAATTAAACTTGTCAAGTAATTAAAAAATAATATGAAAATTTAAGATTTTAATCTAAAAGTCAGCAAAACCTTAATATCTCCTGTATTTCACAGTGTTGGCCACATCTTAGCTGGATTAAAATACTTAATTGTTCAAACTGTAGGGCTAAACCCTACAGAGGAAGCAGAGTGCTAAAAATTATACCACTGGACTGAGAGAAGAAATTCTTTCACACCAAGTCCTTCTCTTACTGTTAAAGCAGAAAACTAAAAGGATAATTTTAGCCCCACTTAGCCTTTCAGAAGAAAAAGGCTGCAGAGCACATAGGTTTAGTTTCCTGATGACAATAAAAAAATTCTCTCCCTAGAAGTGCCTAACTCCAAGAAAGCTCAGAATAGATCATTCTGGAAAGGGTTAACAACAACAATCTTTCTCCACAGAGAGATTTAAAAAGCAAAACTTAAGTGTGTTATATCTAAATTATAATGCCACTCAGTACACATTATATATTTAAAAAGTAAAGTCAATTCTAGTGATAACAGTTGGAAATTTCATTGAAAATGGGACCTTTTACACCTACACTTAAAAGAGCTGCCCATCATTGTTTTGGTTTTAACAGTCTCTTCTGAAATCAGAGACTTGTGTAAACTCTCACAAACAGCTGGCAAAAAGATTTTCAGCAGTAATGCGGATTCAGTACTTTATAGATTTTTATGCAAAGTTTTCCTTTTTTTTTTTTTTTCTGGTCCCGAAATGAAAACAGGGAGAGAACAATTTGCACTCCCCAAACTACATGGTACTGTTCTGAATTTGAAATTGGTTTGGAACATGTGTGTGGAACTTCCTAAAAAAAAAAAAAAAGAGGTGGGTAATAACATGTCCTCAGGGAAAAACCTAGTTAAAATGGAAATTTGAAGTCGGGAATAAAAGTTTGTTCCAGTTGAGAGCGGGGAAAGATGGACATGATTAAGGAGGTGGAAGCAGCAGCGGCTGCGCTGCAGCGGGCGCTAGGACCATGCCGACGCCGCCCGCCCTGCAGCGCCCGCGCGGGCTCGGTCAGGGCAATTAGAGCCGCGCCAGCCACGCCAGGCAGGGCGCTGTCAGCCTTAATCTGAGCGCTGACGGGCAGCGCTCAGCCCGCAGGAAGCACGACCAGTGAACCCATATTGCTTTGACAGTTGCACTCATCTAGAAATAATGCAAAACGCTATTTAGATGTACATATCACGACCCTGTGCTCTGGGAAGAAAACAATCTAATGAGGGGCTGGGAGTCTGCTCGACGACACAAGCAGTGAGGAGGGTGCGGGTGCGTGCGCCAGGGCGGCCTCCCCAGTCGCGCTCGCTCCTCTTACAGCTCTTCGTGCTTGATGCGGTGCGAGCGGCGTGTCACAGCCGGCTTCAGGGAGCTGATCTTGGCTTCTGAGGCTTCGGTAAAGAATTTGAAAATAGACGGGAAGCTCTTCCAGGAAGTTAGCTCGTGACGGTCGGTGCCTGCAAAGAACCACACATTCGGTTACCAGGTGGCCCCGCGGTGCCGGGCGCGGTGAGGGCGGCGAGGGCCAGGCCTAGCTCCGGCTCGCTACCACCCCGCCCAGTCCCTCCCGCCCACCCCAGCCGCCCGCGCCCCGCCTCTCCCGCCCGCGCCCCGCCTCTCAGTCTGGGCCCCGCCTCTCAGCCAGGGCCCCGCCCCCTCGGGGGCGCGCGCCGCCGCCTCTCAGGGCACACCTGGGGCTGCAGGGTCACTTGCCCCCCCGGCTCAGAGGAACTCAGACTTAGCTATCTGCGGCATCGGGGCGTCTCCGGCCTAAGTCTCCATCCCTCTCCCGACGCGGGGACGCGGCCCGCATCTGTCCCGGGGTCGCTCGAGGCGCGGCTGGACGCCCGAGGCCTCCGCCTCTCCGAGCCAATGGAAGCGTTGGGCGGGAAGGGCCACTCCCTCTCCCTCCGGGAAACCACCCACCTCCCCGAGACTCGGCGCGAGCGGGGATTGGTTTTCCCTGCGCGCGGGATCGGCTGCCATCCACCCCACAGCGCCCGTTTTCTTGCCTCCCAAGGGGGTTGGGGGCGGGGTGGGGAAGGATTTTTCTTGCCTCTCCCGGAAGCTGTGCTGTTAGACACGATTACCTCAGCTAGGTCACTGGGACCAAATCATACGGGACGCTTAATGAAGGACCACATTCAAAAGGGATTATGCCTTGAAGTGTCCTGGCGGGCGACATTTTTACAGATTTTAAGGGGCAAATTTAGAACAGCTAAAAAAAAAGGTTTCAAAGCAGTGACTACTAAAAGAGCATCTAGGCCTCCCATTTTGTCAGGAGGAATTCAACTTAGAAAATGCAGGTTAGTTGTCAATTTATGGGGTTATTTTATTTTACTACAGCTTCTCTCTGTGGTTTCGATGTAAAACTAATGTACAGCATGTTTTCAAATAAAATCGACCTTCAGTTTAACACAGGCAGCAGATAACACGGATACAGGCATAAGAACAGATGAGGAAATACATTTATCTATTTTTGACTCCCTGTGATGGCTTAGGTAGCATTTTACGAGTGGCTTCATAAATGAGCACTTTTTAAAATTAAAAATTAATTACAAAGACTTCCACAGAAGAATAGCTTTTAAACAGTTGAAATCTCTTCCTAGATCACGCAATTATGCAGAGAGATACCGCTTGGAAGTCTCCGGATTCAGGGCCTCAGTCTGATACTTTAACATTGTTAATGATAATTCTTTAGTCTGTAATAGTAGGTCATTGCTATGGTTACTCTACAATGGTGCAACACTTTGCTTTCCCCTTCAGCTATTCGCTGAGACCTGGTAACCACATTTGTTGCCTAGCAACAGTTTTGTGACAGTATCACAATCTAGGAGTTACAACAATAAGGATGCTATGGCTGCTGTCGGCCAGACAGCAGAAAGCTACAGTCTGTGCCTGACTTAGCTGTGGGAGCTGGCCCTACTAGAGAACCCCTCTCTCTTTATCGGTGCCCTCCCAAGGATTCTCTCTCTCCTCCTTTCCTCTGCAGATGGGCCTCATGAACCTGAATTTGAAACTAAGACCCAGTATTAAAGTCATATCCGCCAAAGCGACTGTATTCAGACTAAAAATGAGGTCATTTCTGTATTTGCTTACTCATTTTGGGCAAAATTCATTGTTACTCAATAGGAAGGTGGGATTGTCTCTATAGTGTTTGCAACCCTAGTTTCACTTCAGTAATAACTACACAGTTGCACTTATAATGGTAAGACATTTTACAATCAATTGTAATTCCTTTTGAAAGACCATTCTCAGATGCATACTACATGGCAACACCCACCCCCAAATACAATAAGCCAAAAAAAAAAAAAAAAAAGGTGTTAATTGTCTCTTTTCCTTCCCATTTCCCAAGCTTCCAGCCACATTTGGCATTTCCTCCATAGTGATCACACTTACACCTACTAGTGTTACTAAGGCTAGGATCAATTTATAAGCTTTCTCAGGGAATTCCCCTCATAATTCCTCCCACCCCTTGAAACCAATTCAATCTATGAAGCTAGAGGGACCTAAGGAGTCAACGGTCTGAAGCAATTTTAACTCCTTTATTTCTTCTTTACTAGTGACAATCCTTCTGAAGGATGAACAGATTTCCCTGGTGATAAAATCACTACAAAAGCTTTTTAGTTTTAGCTTTTGATGACTCTCTGCTTGATTAGTCCTGGACTGAAAAGACCAGAGTCCCTGAGATAACTGAATACTTGTACTGGCTCTCAACATTTACTCTTGTAATTTAAAAGTATAAATAATGAGAATGTGTGCTTCTATCAGAGGAAGGGAAATTGCTAGGAGTAAAGGTAATAATGTAGGTTAGCAACTGAATTACAGAGAATGGGGTGGAAGGGAGAGAATTCTCCCTAAACTAAGGAATGATAACATGAATATGTAATATAAAAATGTGTTTTCTAGGAACACTTTTACACTGTTGGTGGGATTGTAAACTAGTTCAACCATTATGGAAAACAGTATGGCGATTCCTCAAGGATCTAGAACTAGAAGTACCATATGACTGAGCCATCCCATTACTGGGTATATACCCAAAGGATTATAAATCATACTGCTATAAAGACACATGCACACGTATGTTTATTGCGGCACTATTCACAATAGTAAAGACTTGGAATCAACCCAAATGTCCATCAGTGACAGACTGGATTAAGAAAATGTGGCACATATACACCATGGAATACTATGCAGCCATAAAAAAGGATGAGTTTGTGTCCTTTGTAGGGACATGGATGCAGCTGGAAACCATCATTCTCAGCAAACTATCACAAGAACAGAAAACCAAACACCGCATGCTCTCACTCATAGGTGGGAACTGAACAATGAGATCACTTGGACTCAGGAAGGGGAACATCACACACCGGGGCCTATTATGGGGAGGGGGTAGGGGGGAGGGATTGCATTGGGAGTTATACCTGATGTAAATGACGAGTTGATGGGTGCTGACGAGTTGATGGGTACAGCACACCAACATGGCACAAGTATACATATGTAACAAACCTGCACGTTATGCACATGTACCCTAGAACTTAAAGTATAATAATAATAATAAAAAAGAATGTATTGAAGGAAATCTTAAAATAGTAAAAAAAAAATAATAATAAAATAAAAATAAAAATGTGTTTTCTAAATTTTTGGAAGTAGATTTTTAATGATATTTAAAATATCATTTGGAGGTTGAATAATTGCATGTCTATCTGGGACTGCATATATACATTTCAAGAATATGTTTGGAGACCATTTTCAAAAATTTAGTTCTGAAGTTCAGTGAAAATATTTACAGGTGAATATGAAACTCTATCCATGACAGTGTTCAATGAATGGAAACTTTTGAGAGCAGGTTTCTAGTACTTAAAAAATACATCACTTTAGGGGACATTAAGTGGGGTGTCTTTTATTCCATCAGTACAGAAACACTAGACCATTACATTATTTGTTCATAAAAGGATATAAAAGGTGGAAGTTTAGGTCAATCAAAAAAGCAGTCATTTATTAATAAAATGCAATGATGTAGAAGTCATAGGGAGACTAGTTTATTTAGCACTAGCCTTGTTATTTGAAGGAGATAAACATGGTTTTATGGTCAAGGTCTAGTCTTTTCACTACCACCACTTTATTCTTATCAAGTCTCCAGTTTTCAAACCCATATTTTCCCAATTTAGACAGGTTCGCAAAATATAAGGAGTAAAAGGTTTTTCCACATTAAATATCTGCCAACTTCTCAAGGAATGATTTTGGTATCATTTTGTAGTGGCAGGCTTGGTCTAACTGGATAATTCACCTATGGAGTGAATTCAGTTTCCTAGTCTGTAATATCAATTCAGTATAAAAGTAAAATGTAAAGGATCACAGCGCTTCATTACAAAAAAATACCTTTGCTCAGTTTCAATCAGTGGTTCTTAATGGAGATGACAATGGCCTCTGGAGGCATTTTGGAAATTTGCAGGGATATTTTTGGTGGTCAAGACGATTGGAAGGTGTGATTGGCATTTATTGGGAGAAGGTCAGGGATAGTGGATATCCTGTAATTTGCAAGGCAGTATAGAATTGTTCTGCATCCCACATGATTTTCAAATGTTCAGCAGCTATTCATGTAGTTGAAAACCTGTTTATAATTATATGGATTAGAATTTAAATATGTTTTACAGATAATCTTAAAATACTTTTTGCATGATTTTAATATATACTGAATTTTCCAAAAATACCACTACCATGTAAATTGAAAGGGTTGTGCATTTTGTTTTTCAGAGTCTTGCCAAGAGTGGTTTACCCTATGAAAAAAATATCATAACTGATGGCACCATGCCCATGGTACTGGAGTTGCCAATAAGCATACCTGTATCAGCCTGCACTTCAGCTGTCAAATTCATGATGATTCCATGCATAGGACCAAGTATCTGACTACTTTATTATGTCTTCTCATATAGATTTGCCTGAGCACTTTAAATATTGAAATCCATATTATTTTTATTATGAATTACATTTATTCCTTCTATATGTTAACTAGAGCATTACAAAGATTTAATAATCTTATAAGTAGGTAGATTATATTATCTATTGAATTTATTTCAGGACAGTAAAAGCACTGCATAATATTTCTTATAATAGGAGGTAATCAAAGGTCAGATTAAATAAAAATTAATGGTTAATTCTTTCTTACTATATTAGAGATTAATTCTTCCAATAATCTGAACCCTACTCTAGCTATCTCTTTTATCCTTGTACAGAGCAGAAAATACCTATTTTTCATTTTTCTTATATTTCTTCCACAAATGCCATTTGTCAATGATGTTATTCATTGTGAAATGACTAAAAGGCCAGGGATCTTCCAATGAAAATACTACCCTGAATATCCTTGACTTATCACTTGTTTTAAAAAATGAACTGTAGCAAATTTTAAAGGAGTAAAAATAGCAAGTGGTGAAAAGGATTAGAAACTTTAAGAATCAAG